ATGAAGTTGCTTAATCCACACATTTGTTTCTATTTACCCTGCAGTCTGACGTCAGTGACGTCATAGACGCAGTGTTTGAATTCTCAGTGCAGCGAGATCAAGTACACACACCCGTCATGATCGGTTTTATTTCATAATAAACAGGTCACAGTCAATGTATCGTGATAAATATCTCAAGCGGATTATTCAAAATTAATATTTTTCGTGTTTAGTTACAGAGATTCTCTCTATTTTAGATAATTTTGAATGTTTGTATTGTCGTGTGACGTCACAATTGATTTCCCGCACTCGGAAAATACAAACGTAAAGCGTTTTTATCATGCTTACGTCTAATTCAACGATGTCCTGTGCGATATTGAGGTAAGCTTTACCCTGTGATATTTATGCAGTAAATAATTACGATGAAGGACTGATATTCAATCGTAAATTTAGAAATGTTTATTGACAGAATTTTTTCCAAATGAGGTTTTTGTCGTTGAAGCTGCCTTGAAAAATGCAGAAATTATCCCACCAAAATACTATATGAAATTAAAACAAATGCTTTTAGATAATTTAAACACTGTGAATATTATAAAACATTTTCGTATATAGTGATATCTATCAAATTTATCGTTTGTGCGTAAAAATTCGCATAATGAACTCCATTATGGACCCGTAAACATGAAGTATCTAAACTCCATACAAACTTTAAACAGGGCTGTATTTGCGGGGCGATATCTTTAAATAAGTCAAGAAATCCCATGAAAGGACCGTTTTAAAATGTTATGTACATATTAAATTAGTAATTTAAAAAATACGAAAAAAATCATTGACAGGAATTTTTTCAATCTAAATATAGAATTAAAGACCTGAGAAATAATTCATACTTTTTTTCTTGTAATATGGTAATAAGTGTGCGGTATGAAATATAATAGCTTTATAGCAATCACAAGAGTTTGATAAGAATCATCTTAAATCACAGCCTGTGATTTCTTATCACATACTATAAACTTATTTTGAAAGTTTTCTTACCGTTTTTTAGCTTCCTGTCGGTCGCCTTACTCTGCATTATATAGTCAAATACAATACACAGCTAAACAAATTAGTAAAAAAGGAAATACAATGTACGAAAAGGTCCCGATTAAAAGGAAGTTATCCTGTTTCAATAATTTCATTTTCGTAATTACAATATATGACATTCTATTTCAAGCTTTTGTGCCTACAAATGCATGAAACACATAATTTGATCAAGTAAAATCTTAAATAAAATATTCTTTTACGTATTTTACTGTAATGAAAGATATTTGATTTGAATTTGCGTTTTCTAGTGAATAATGAATAGGTTTTAGCCCATTAAAAGTCTACAAAACCCTTGTTTTATCACCTTGTTTAAAATAAAACAAAGCCAAGACGTCTGCTCTAGAGTCGCAGAGTAAGGAGTTGATAGCTACGTCGCGGGTCGAATCCCACTGTCGGACGTTGGATGAGACCGTATGAACAGAAGTTCCATGTCGCATAAGGTGTAGGCACAAAAAGATCCCCCAAAGCTCGGCCTGAGTGCCTAGTATAGGTCAACATTTGTAGCTCTCTACCGGCAAGAGGTGGCGTCTCCATATGAGTGAAAAATTTCGGAGAGGGACGTTAAACAACAATTAAACAAAAAAATTGCACCAGAAAAAAACATTTTGTTTTTGTTCTATGAAAAATAAAGATGTGATATTTTAACAGTAGATACCACTAAATTCAAATACGTTTAACCACTGATCGGAGAATGATCGGGGTGTTGTACATGTATTTTTACACTTTTGGTATTACAGAGAACACTCTTTTGTGGATCAAATCATAAATGAGTCAAAGGACGCAAAGCATATCAATTGGTTGCGAAATTGTACTATTAATTATCGTTGTGCCCCAAGATTCAGTATTGGGACCAAAATATCCTTTATTTTTCCCTTCGGCTTTTCCTTCGGATGAGATCGTATAAACCGAGGCCTCGTGTCACAGCAGGTGTGTCACGATAAAGATCCCTCCCTGCTCAAAGGCCTTCACCGGCAATGATGACGTCTCCGTATCAGTGAAATATTCTGGAGAGGGACGTTAAACAGTATACAATCAATCAATCAATCCCTTCCGCTTTTCGAAAAATGCTTGCGTCATGGTATGAGGTACCATATTTACGCCGATGATATCCACGTTTATTTAGTAGTAGAACCAGCTGATACCTGGTTGGATGTGTCTTCATGGTTAACATGCTGTCGGAATGAAATTAAGTCATTGATGTAACATGCTGAGAATAAACGTGGATTAAACTGAGCTTTTTGCATTTGCCCCTAACAGTCGCATCAAAAGCATGACTGAATTCAGATTTTTGTCTGGAAAAAAACATCATAAAAAGTGGTCCGAATGTCAGAAATCTTTTTTTTCATTTTTCGACCAAATGCTATGTTTTAAAATGCAATGCAAAGCGGTTGCAAGGACATGTTATTCCCAAATTCGCAAAATAGGACGCATCAGACGTTTTCTTACGGATGGGATATGTAAAACATTAGTACACTCGCTGGTGACATCTCGATTTGACTAGGGAAATGCGCTTTTATTTCACATCAATAGCGCATATATCAGTTAATTGCAGAGTGTCTAGAACCGTCAGACTGCTGCTAGACTCGTTAACAGGCTAGGCAAGTACGAACATATTCAGCCCATACTTGTTGAGTTACACTGGCTTTCTGTCATATGTAGAGTGCAATACAAACTATATGTTTATGTCTTCAAAGCACTTCATGGTTTAGCACCGACTTATACCTAGGTCACATTTAAGCCGACGGTCGGGCGACTAAATTTTTCAAGTCTTGTCGGCTGAAAGAACAGGATCGGCCGACACAGTATCGGGCGACACGGAGCAGGCTCATTATTTTTTAGGGACACCGATGACTTGGATAAATAACACAAAAAAATCTTTTTTCTTTAAAATTTAGCAATATTTTTTCACAGATTTATACCTGCTATATTCAAATAGGTGACGTTAGTAATGTCAAAGTGGCGGAATCTTATAAAATTGTGACTCAATGTTGAAAATGTGTGCAAAATTTGTATGGAATTGCATAAAAACGATAAATGGTCGCATATCTAAGCAGCAAAGAATACTTAAGGTTTCTTTATATCTTAAGGATTAATTATTTATGTTATTTCCGTTCAAAATATTTTTATCAATCCATGCATCAAAATTTTGTTTGTTTTATATATCCTTAATAGGTTAGATATTCACAAGTCGACCAATCGTCGCCCGATCATCGACCTCTGAGCTACAGTTTGATTTTAACTGTCGGCCGAAATTTTAACACACTTATTGTCCAACGAAGGGCGACCGACTTAATAAACTGACCGCCGATGGTCGGACGATGATCGGAGGTTGGTCGACGGATAACTGTAGTTGACGAAATCGACCACCGATGCATGAAAAATTATAACTTGGACCGATGGACACAAAATTGGTCAGCCGACAAAAAAATAGGTCAAAATCGGCCAAGACAACGGCCGATGAACTGACGACTGTCTCCCGAAGAATCCCATTTTTGCTTCAAAACCAGTCGGCCGTTGGTCGTTTTTGGAATTGTGACTGGGGTTTTATCTTTTAGATCTAGTTTGTGAATATAGACCCACCAGGTCACTTCGCTCGGCTTCGTCAAACAAGTTGGTTCTGCCTCGAGGTCGATCATTTTAGAGAGAAGGAAAAAGAGGCTGGGTGGAACATTTACTTTATCCCGCTATTCATTTTTGTTTAAAAGGATTTTATGTAGTTTAGGAGTCCAGTCAAAAGATTGGAGTTCCCTAGTATTGACGTGTCAGCAGGACTTTCATTGTTAAGTGAATAAGAACATGAAAACGATGGAGGATTATTTTCGATTATTTGATATCTGGGAATTGTAGTGTTTATTTATATAAAATATTGTTGGTAAATATTTTATTTAATGATTTTATAGCTGTAGCATGTAAAAACATGCATTCTGATATTTTAGAATTATTGATAGTATGTTGGCACAAGTTTTGGTGTATAAATAAATGAGCATGTGAATGCATTTGTACAGCAATTGAGAGTCAATATTCACCAATATAAGTCCTATATCATACAACTAAAAATTTCTGATTTACTCATATCATTTATTTTAAATACATAGCCCAAAATTAATAAAAAAAATTTGGTAAAGGTATTCAAATTAATACTGTCCAATATCTGTGCCTTTAATGTAAGTGTTCAATATCATATCATTCAAATGACTCTACCAATAGTTATAATTTACTTATACAGGTTTTTATTTACTAATACAAATGTAAGTATGACATTTTTAATTGATACACCTGTAATCTAATTATGTGAAAATCGCATCTTACCTACCTGCCACTACCCCTCAATATTATTGTCTTTGAGCGGTTAACCAGATGCCATTTTTGTTCAGAACAAGGCGTTTAATTTTGAACGCTTAAACTCGGAATATTTCAGGACATACGTATATACGTAATGCAAACTTAACCTTCAATAAAACATCAAGAAATTGAACGCTCTACCTTTAGTTGTATTTTATAATATATTTTTTTTTACTCTTTAATAAATCAAGTTACTATTTGCCTTTTTTTTATTTTTGAAAGATTATAATTACAACACTTTTCAATGCTAGTTTAGATAGTATTTACATGTATGTTACATATACCGGTAAGGTTTCCTTCAATGGTTAATAATTTGAGAAGAAAAGGTTTATGCGTATTACAATGACAATTAAAGCGATTGTAATTTGTAATTTATTCTAATTAATGTTGAAAAGTTGCCCGAAAAATAAGATTATAAAATTAATTTGTAGATAAAATATATACAAAATACAATATTTGATGGGTTAAGTCAGAACACTACTCGACATTACCTTATAGATACGTTAAGTTTATAATAATAAGTATAATCAGGTAATAGTTACTAAGAATGACACTTTCGAGGGAAAACTGTAAAAATACTTTTTAAATGTTTTATCATGATAAGCAGAACCTTAAGCTTTTCTTTAAAAATTACAAATTCATTTTAACACGACACATTTGGAACAACGATTCCTGCTAATCATAAGTTGGAGACGAGAGACTGCTTTGCCTTGTCTCTCACATTGGTTTTTGATTTCCAGAAACGTTTTGCTGAGCCCCTCATTCTCACGTTTTATTACAAATCCTTCAATTTCAATCCAGAAGCAGTGCTTTTCAAGTAACATTGCTTTATATTTTGATGGAAGTTTCCCATAAAACGTACTGTTCGTGTATTCACTGAACTCGACAAACTCCAGGTGATCGAACATTTCTTCATAAAGTTCTTTAAGGTCAAACTCTACTGCGAAATAAAAGCATTTCATAACGAAGGAAACATCAGCCATTCGTGATCTTGCTTCTCTTTGTAACCATTTATGTCCAATCTTCATCAAGGAGTCCACTCTATACTCCTTTGCCAAGGGAAGAACTTGTTCAAGAATGGAATCTACAAATTTTGAAATCAGTATCTATCAGGAACAAGTGGCTTTGTATTGATTGGATTCTAAAAACTGGTGATTATGATCTTTGCATGATTTCTAACTAAATGGGCAGCCACTTTTAACAAGAAACAATTTATCGTTTGATAAAATATAATATTTAAAAATTTCAATGACTCAATGGAAGTCAGTGATCTTAAAAAAAAAACCACTTAAATCTTCGGAATATTTTAAAGATAATTCCAGTTACTTAATGAATTCAATATCATCACCAAATGAATACTGACCCATAACGGACGTCCCAGGGCTGTGAAATTTTTATAAGAAAACTCGAATAGTTTTCAACAATACGTCAACTTAAGATATTAAAATATATCTGGAGAAATATTTCGCCGTAGGGGATATTGTAAATAAACATTAAAAGAAAAATAAGGTTTCATCAGGGCATATGCACCAATTTTTTTTCGGAATGAAAGAAAATATAGCATAGATTAGTTTGGGAAAAAAATTACTTTTTTTCAGTATCTTTCGTAATTTGGAATTTTTCAGGGCATCTGCCTAATTCTTGGCAATTTCCACTGGGTTTAAAACGGGAATCTGCTAAACATAACAGAACAGAAATGATGATGTTTCATGGCGTGTCTGTTTTATTTTCTGCAATTTCTTTAATTTGTTTGATTTCTGGACTGTTAAAGATAAGGCCTGAAAAATTGTAATGTATAACAAAAACATCACAATGTAATTATCTGCTTTGTCATAAGCAGGATTTGAACAAACAAAATGATACAAATTTTCACTTCATATATATTCACAGTATGGTTTTGTGATGTATGTGCCAAGCTGAAATATGTGCTTTGAATTTTAGTGATGTACAGTGTCATTCTGGGACGCGCACAGTGAGCAACAAAGGTGTACTCTGCTGCGCAGAGGTTGAGTACTGTAAACGTATGTGATGTACAGTACTGTATTGCGGAGGCGTACTAGGGCAGACAGTTGTTGTACTGGGCTGTACAGTGGGGACGTAAAGTAAAGTACAGGGATGTACAGAATATAACAGTTAACTTGCACTGTGATTTACCGGAAATTACAGGGAGTACAAAGATTTTATACATTGATGTACAGTGTTTATACAGAGAAAATATTATTTCAGAATATCAGGAAATTTTAAGTCCAGTAGTGGTAGTGTCTATTAAACAAAAAGAAGGAAGTGCATACTCATAAGACTTCAATTCTGTATACAATCTTCAAAATAAACTAAAACAACACTTGCTCTATACACGGAGTATCATAGTTAAACATATTAAAAATCGTTATATAACATTAATTTTATATATAACATAAAATTTAAAAGCTTTTCAATTTTTATACTAACCATTGAGTTTAACATGTTCTCCTGGATAAAAACATCTCAGAAACAAAACAAAATTTTCGTATTTCTGTTCAGGAAATCGTATTCTAATTTCCTTCTTGTCAGACGTGAACATGGCACGGAACACAGGAGAGGCTTGCATTAGAATTGACTTGGTCACATGAATTTCCTTATCCTCCACAACAAAGATGGCATCTGTCACCCCTGGGTCCTCCTTGAAGTATACAGTGTCATTCTGCTCTTTACAAAGGTAGTCCGACATCTTAGAATGTACTATATCCTGGTTCAAAGCGCAAAGTGTTTATATAGCAGTGTATAAATACAGATAAGATTTAGCTTTCTTGGCGTTTTGTAGGTGAAACATAAAAAAGTATTTGATATACCCATTTTATATGTAAAGAGTTATGCTTATCATTCAATTGCAGGAATTCATTAGCATTTGTGTAATCAGTGTTTAAATGCATTTCTTAAAACAAATAATAAAATCAAAAATGAAGAGATTTATGATGATGCAATATACAATAAAAAAGAAAAACACATATTTCTCTCGAGCGTTTATTCAATAAAGAATTAAGGATAAATGAAGTATTGATACATTTCGGTAAATAATACTAGCATAATACTTTGTCTGGCTTTATTTTAGCTAGATAAGTATACTGCATTCATCTGCATTAATTACTTTTGGCTGACCAAAGCACAATGTACATATACACGTTACTGACTTTAAGTTATTGTAACACCGTATTAAATAACTGCATTACTTCCCAACGGCGAATTCTTGTTTATTGAGAAGATGAAGAAATTGTAAATAGCATCATATATGAGCAAAAAGATGTAAATACTTAAGATTTACTTTTAAGGGGAGTCTTGTGGGATATTGAAAGTGAGAGACATTTCTTGAGAAACCTGTTGGAACCATTGAATTCTCTTTTTATTGACATTATTTATTGTTATATAAAATCAAAAACAAACTAGCTGTAGAATGCAATTACATGTAAATAAAAACTTTGTAAATGTACGAAATTTTTAAGTGATGGGAACATGAAAAATATATTTATTGTACGACGGTAGTTCGAAAAGTTTGTGAACGATATCAATCATTGTTATATTTCTCACTAGAAATTTAAGATAAGCACGATATAAAATGCAAAAATATTTGTCTTGTTGATGTGTGAAGTTTCATTCCATTTGATGTAAAAGAAATCAATTTACTTCATCTTTAAGGGACTCCAATCCTCAGCCAGGAAGAACAACTCTTTAATTTATAATCTAAATCAAAAAGTCTCAAAATGAAGCTTAAAAAATCAAATCTTTTCATGCAACAATTTTCATTATATAATTCTCAACAAGGTTCTTTGACGCTCTCGGAAAGGTCTAATAAAAAGTCGAAAATTTATCCCATAAAAGCAATTTAAAGTTACATGTATCAAGAAATTGATGTCCATTTTAATCTAACCTTAGATTCCAATGTTTATTAACATGACATGAAATTAGAAGTGATTTATGGTGCTTCACAGTGACAAGAGAATCTTTATACACTCTGTATTGTAAAATGATCGAAGCAAATAGAAGTAATTAAAGGACATTATATGTATACAAATTGTGGAATTTCTTCAAAAGCCTGGATACCTATGATTTTTTTAAATGTGTTAATTGATCAAATTTGTATTGGAAAATGCATATCGCAATTCCTGGCAATATATTCGAGTTTTACTAATTTTCTCTATATACTATGATTAACTGAAAAGATGAAGTTTGAAGAATCATTGTGGGTAAAAACGCGTTACTTTGAAAATTCAGAGACATTTTTATGAGCATTTTCAATTAGTCAATGAATAATTTTCAGAACCTGAAGATCGGAATACCTCAAATCAACATGTTTTGCACCTGCGGAACATACTTAGCGGCAATGTGATGTCAGAACATAGCCTTAAAATTTCTAAAAATATACCATCCTTATACAATTCACACAGTATAATCCAATGCCCACTCATTTAATCCTTCTTCTCATACTTGACATTTATTTTTTTTAAAAATGCTCTTGTTGTATAATTTTCTTTTTTAAGATTTTAATTTCTTTTATTACCTACCTCTGCTTTCACAGGATTTTCCTGAGTAAAACACAAAATTACATCGTTATCTGCTACTCCGTGACATTCTAAAACGTCATAGTTTTGTCGTTTTCAATATGGACTGCCTATCTTCTCAAGATGATTTCTTTTCAACAAATCAAAATATTAAGACATAAATTTGAATACGATTCGATGTTACAATTCCTTATTTAAATTTGAAGTTGTTTTTCGTTTTGCTCAATTTTACAGAGAATAACCACATACATTATAATGTAATTGTTTGTAACTACAATGTAACTACACAGGAAAAATGTCCACATGTGTTAAACATATGTTTGGTTTCACATGTGTTCAACACATGTTTTATACATGTACTACATGAGTGTAAATAAACACATGTAAAATATGTGTTTCATTTATATGTAAAACATATATAATATACACATGTTATACACCTGTGAGATAATATATATGTTAAACACATGTTTTTCACCACACATGAATAACACGTATTATATATATGTAATATATGTGTGCGAAAATACAGATGAATTATACATGTTTAATTTATATAAAATATATGTGTATTCATATACACATGTTATACACATGTTAAGTTTTATCTCATATGTGTGTGTACATTAATTCAAAAGAATTTGTAAATGTTAGTAAAATTTTACTCATGTAAAGTTTTACTTTGTTTATCCCCCCCCCCCCCCCCCCTTTCCCTTCTAAAAAAAAAAAAACTTTCACAATTTTTTTTCTGTAATAATGCATTTATCAGACAAAATTGATAAAGAATGAATTCATTTTCTTTTCATTTTAAATCTTTTGGGCTTGGCTTACTTCTTGAGTAAAATTAAAATAATTCCGTATTTGTCTTCGGGCCGGTTTTGTCTTTTATCGGATGAAAATGTACGTCATTTTTGACGTCACTGCTGCAGCAGACGTGCTGGATGTATTGGAAAGGTAAGTGATCTCGAAACAATTTTTAAAAGACTTTTAATTCATATTGTTTAAATATCATTTCATTATAGTTACAGGTGCGTATGAACCTTCTATATACATGTAATACTCTTATCATTGTGACTTGTCATGCATTTTGCAAACCTAACGATAGTGATCTGTAGAATTTTGGTGAAAATGTTTCTGACTGAATGTAAGCACGGGCACTGGAAGTTAATGTAAATATATTGTATGTGTATGTATAAAAAAGACCCTTCTTTTTTTTATACATACACATACTATATTATTTATATTAACTTCCAGTGCCCGTGAATGTAAGCGGTTACATGTTAGGCTAAAGGCATTACTATTTTTTATAATTTGTATACAAGTAAGTAATTTTGGATAAATTTGTTTCTGAATGAACGTAAACATTACATGTTAGGCTATTTTTTAAAGGCATTATTGGTTTTCCTTTTGTTACGTACTGATATGAAAGTGAAAGTAGAAACCTTGAAACCATTGCGACTGTCAGTTGGTGTTTATGTATGTTGAGATTGCTGTCAAGTCGATTCTTTCATCAACTTAATAACAAGTGTTTGTTTTTATGGCCTATAGATGCATGCAGTAACCTGAGTTCAGTGTCACAGTGCTGCGTCTAAAAAGCCCAAAGCTGATAAGACTGGCGATTGATCCTAAAGCTGATTTGACAGAAGATTGCATCTTCACATATATTAAAGGTAAAAATAAATACTACTTGCAATAAAAAATCAAAGTAAACATCTGTAATGACCCCTTCATGACAAAATATTTCTTGATACATTGTAATTTCTTTTTGTTCCTTTATAATTCTACATTATATTGTTTGCATGACTTCATAAATAATAAGTCCAACTCAATACTACAATAATTTTATTCTATATTATAAAACAGTTTTAATGCAGTGCACTTTTAAAATATGGAAAGTATGAATAGAATTTGTTGGCTTTAAAAGCTATGAAACTGGTACATGTACTGTAAATGACTTCAGGGGGGAGGGGGGGGGGGGGTATTGAATTTTTGAATTTCAGTTAAAAATTAATAATAACAGTGACATCCAACTTTCAAGGTACAAGTACATGTGCATATGTGTTGATTGTTGAAAGTACATCAGCTAGCTAATCCATTAGATACTTACATCTATTATGTACCGGTATTCATTACCTGACATTTATTATTTTTTTCCAACACTAGAGAACATAGTTTCTGGTAAAATGTAATATATTAATTAAGACTATTAAGAACCTACAAACATGTACTCTCTCTTTTTTATATTTGTAGTTTTGTAGTTTAATTAAGTTAATTAAGTTATGCTTAGAAGATATCTACTGCATGAATATTTGTTTTACAGGTTCAATATACAGTCAGCGTCTCATAAGAATAAATCCCAAGATCCAAGACTTGCTTAAAAGCTTAATTAAGGTAACTATATATATACACACTGTTAAATAAACTTTGTTATATTCTTTCCAACAACGTTTGGGATATCCTGGAATCACACTGTCTGTTTTTCTGCCTGTCTACTTCTCTGTAGTATTTTTGGTCCAAATATAAAATAATTGTGTCAGAATCTTCTTAATTTTTGGCAATATGAATTAGTAATACTGTTTGAACATTCCAAATTTAATTGTCAAAATCAAAAAAAAAAATGCTTTTTATGACTTTATTATGAAGCATATCTTCCAACAGTGTAATTGTCTTGCAAATTACATCATAGGATTCCACAAAACACCTAGTATAGCATATATAACATTAGTTTTATCTCTTATCATATCTCTGTTGGTGAATTAGGCATACATTTGTTTGCTGAACTTTAATATTACTTGTAGAATTGATTTTGTAATTTAAGAATTGTTTTATTTTTACTTTTGAAATTTTTGTAGAGACCATTCTGTGCCACAAAGAAATTGTTCAGGAAAGGGAGAAATGGTGGATTTGCATTTTGGGTACAGTTCAAAGAGAGTTCAAAATGGTCAAGCTCGTGGAAGATCAGAGGGAGGACAACTGAAGAAAACTGAAAGATACAGAAGGAAAAAGAACAAGAAAATATATGAAATAATTATGAAATTGGGAGGATGTACACAATTTTGTCTGCATTTGACCTGTAAAGATTTAATTCCCATTCTTATTTGTATGCTGTAATATCAAATAACTTGATTTTTCATAAATTTACAATAGAGAATACATGACAAATGTTATATGTGATATTTCAATTTTGCTTTGGACACTTTCATGTCAAATCATATAAATTATAAAAAAGAACATGGACTAATTATGTTATTCATTTGTACATGTATGCATGTTTAACTATTTAATCATTTTGTGGAAATCTTATAATTGTACTCAACTTAGAATATGTAAAATATATGTATCGACAAATGCTACTGACTTGTTTGTATACTTTCCTGTTTAGAAAGTACATTGAAAAATAAGTTATTTCTCTTGATGAAAATAATTTATCAAAAAAGTTGTGTAAGCATTTTAAGATATTAATTTTCAAATATTTAACCCATGAAGATAGATCATTCGAATGGAATGGATTTTCATCTAAAGCAGAAATATCTGAATTTTAAATGTGTACAAGAATGTGTTTTTCCTTGTGATAAATATTGAAAGAGAACACATGTAACTATTTCATATGACTTACATATGCTGCCCTTTTCATATGATTCACATATGTGGACAAACATGAAAAAAGTATAAAAATGATAATAAGTACAACAGTAATATTATACACGTATAATTCACATATAAAGTATAACATATATAAAACACATGTTTAACACATGTTTCATATGTATAAATATACAATGTGTTTATTTTTACACATGTTAAACACATGTGAAACATATGTTTAACATGTGTAAAAATAAACACCCTATACATGTGTGCTCCTTTTATGTGTTTTACATGTGTAAAAAATATATGTTAAACACATGTTTAACATATATTCAACACATGTGGACATTTTTCCTGTGTAGATTTTGAGCTGCTTCGCTATCTGACTTTTGCATTTTTTAAATCTGGATGTTTCGAATAAAACATGATATTTAAAAAAAAATTACAAATCATTTGGAATTATTCTTCAAATATTTCTACCATTTGGATAACATGTGATGTCAAAAAAAATATTAAAGAGGTCCACGAACTTTTCGAACAATTCTTTTAAGCATTAATACAACTGTAATGGTCCATGTAAATTATTTTTGCTCCTTCTCTATAGGTACATTGTTTAGAATATTAAACCCGGACATGTTTTAATGCGGCAACAATGAAGTAAATCAGAAAATGTAGAACTTAAAGAGGTCAAATTTAAAGTGTTACTAGAGAATTAAGACAGCCCAGGGTTACATGTAATATCTACGTTATCAAAATAGGGAAGTTAATCTATTATAGTGATATATTTCTATCGAATCAAAGAAAGAGGAGAGCGTTATTTCATCCCGCTACTCGCACTTGTTGACCTCGTGGGAAGCCTCACTATTGCTCCGTTCTACGTGATAGGAAATCTATTTTTACGTGTATCCGAATGACATCGTGTGTCGAATATTATCCTTCTTCCAGTTCCTTGTCACAGGAATTTCATCACACGTCCTGTTGCTGATATCTATTCAGAGGTACCTCTTAGTGTGTAGACCATTTGGACCGAGAATGACACACTTCTGGAAAAGAGTTTCCTTTGCACTGGCGTGTATCTTCAGTTTCGCATATTCTGTTCAAGTTCTGAAAACAATGGATGACATCTACATGAACCAAACAATTTCAACTAGGGTCTGCAAATTTTCCGTGGCAAATTCAACCGGAGTTGTAGCTTATTTTGGACTGTTAGTTTTAATTTCAGTGTTGAATATTGTTATGACTGCAAGTTTTTACTTCCCTGTTCTGCGACAACTAAGACTGTCAAAGAATATTATTTTCTCTACATGCACTCCTTTAGACAAAAAACAATGTAACCAATACTACTCATTCTCTGGCTCCTCAGTTTCAAACTCTGCTGGTGAAGAAACCTTAATGAACCTAGTAATCCCACAACAGAACATCACAGTGAAAAATCAATCCCTACGGACCTACACAGTGCCAGAAACTAAAAATGTCTCTATTTCTCAGGATAATTCTAGTCAGACTAAATCAAAGGAAACTCGAGCTGAAATCCCAAACAATGTGATAACCATGGATATTCGCTTTTGCCCACAAAATGTAAGATTACAGAGGAGAATAAGTCTCATGTTTCTGGTTGTTATCGTAACATATATCATGTCCTACATTCCTCCCCTTATTCTTCTTTTACTCACGTACACTATAAGGGATTTCAACTACATCACTTTGTCAAAAGGAGAGACCTTGACCTGGATTTATCTACCGCGCCTTCTGTTTATAAATCATGTTGTTAATCCGTTTATATACGGGTATTTTGATGCTAAATATAGAGAGCAGTTGAGAAATTGTTTTAAAAGACAATAAAAGTATGATTTTAGATCAGTTACCATTGTTCACAATAAAGAGGTGACTTAGGAACAAACATTATAAATTTATTATAATGAAAGGACTCAATGAAAATAAATATTTTGAATGTTTTTTTTTGTTCTGTCCTCTATAATTTCTTTCTTTTTCTATTGTAATGGATATTTCTTATCTGGCAAATGCAAAACAAAAGTGAATAAGAATTAACTGATGAATTGTTTGAAATGTCGGGATGGAATAAGACCTCTTTAGTTCCTATTTGTGGGTGTCTCCAGGTACGAAGATATACTGTATACAGGGAAATTTTCGCCCCCGTTTTATTTTTGCCCCTTTCGCCCTATCTTCATTAGGGCGAATTTAAAACAGGGCGAACTTAAATAATACAGTATAATATCTTAAACAAAACTAAGACTGGGTGAATTTAAAACGGGGCAAAATTGTTTGCAAGTATGAGAGGGCGAAAATAACATTGTATACAGTAGTCCTTTTCAAAAAATAATTTTAAGTGACACAATGAGCAAAGACCAAAAAGGTATTTAAAAAAAGAACAATCAACTTCCCAATTAACTCAAATACTAATCATTTACCCATCATTTTGTATCAGGAAACACACGATGCTACCTTGCCTATCTACAAAATGAAATGTTTCTTGCACTGATCTCTTCCATTGATGCGCATCTCTTCTATAAATATCTTAGAATTGAAAAGAAAAACTTGATGTCGGGGAGATATTTTGGAGAACCACTGCACAGATATTGTTTTGTAAAAGCATACATCAAATGTTTTTTTTCTTTTACTTCACCTGGCATAAACTTTATCTTAAGAGTGCTACTGGATTAAAAGTGTATAGTAAAACTTGTTTCTGGGTCAGAGGTCAAGATCATAGCTTTTTAAAAAGTCTTTTTGATGGAATTTGTACTTGAATAATTTTATTGTTGTTTTGGATTAATACAAAGGTATAATTGTACAACAGCTAACCTTTGAATATTGAATCTATTTTACTTTGTACAACGTTTTAGTAGTAGATTATAATCAATTATTTCCTGTGTAGAATTATTAATATATTTTTCTCTTATTTGTCATTCTGTTATATTTTTTCAGTGATGTTTGATTTGTATAATCTATCGTGTAAAAGTCTTCCATTGAACATATCTCCTCTAGATATATTAAACAAGGAAATACAGTACAGACTTTAATGTCTCTTCTGTACTATATATAAAGCTAAATGGAATAGTATGTTCAATGATTGATTGAATGATTCATCGACTGTATTTAGTTTTTTGTTTGAGGTCCAATTCTAGAATTTTTCTCTAATATAGTGACTTCACCATTTACCGCTAAAAAGTTTCAAATTTTGACATTTACTCTGCTTTGAAGCCCATTGAAGAGTGATGGTCTTTATCGTGCTAAGGCATGTCGAGACACGGGTCTTCGGTTTTTAAGGGTTTTTTTTCTGAAGGACACGCAACTTACAATTCAGAGTGCCAAGATTTTTGCGAGGAAACATATGCCACCCTATTCATTTTATCACCTTAGGTCAGTCGCGGCAGGGATTGAATTCACGACTTTCCATGTTGCTTTCAATGAGGTTGGGACTCTTTACATTAAACCCCCTCCTTCATATATTTTTAAGTTTATGAAGAGGAGGTTGTCAAACATGCTTGTAAAGCACTTTCTTTTTAATTTCAGAATAAACCTTTAAAATTTTTTTTCTGAAAAAAACCTACATATATAATTATCTTACAAATATTGAGGGTGTTGTCAGGAAAGTTCGAGAAGACATATGGGGAAAACTTTAATTTTTACATAATTAATTTTGGAATTATAGGTCTGCGTTACGGATATTTTTTGTATGGATAAGGTGACTAAACACGGAATTTCAGATAATACAATGACTCCGAGTCAAGGTCGTAAAACAACCTTTAGCCTAATTTAAAGATCAGATATAAAGCTAAACGGAGATTGTTTTGATAGGTTTTTTTGGAAACAACTAGAAATCCATATATCATTGCATGTGTGACTTTATAGGAAAACATAATAGTAATTAGCTTATCAGAAACGTATTTCATTCCTTTGTCTTCCTCTTGCCCATTCTACATAAAGCCTTGCCTAATAATGTTTGTAAATACCCTGGGGCCAAGTTTGAGAATAGGTAGTGAAGTTCAATGCAATTAAAAAAAAATGATCGTTGTCTGTGATGAATTATATTTTTGCCCTTCGAGAATATTTTCTTACTATTCTCCAACGAGTACGTTGGACCAATGACGAGAATCGTTTGAAATTAAACCATATTTTTGTAACTTCATGGATGGGTAATTATATATGTCTATGAATTTTTAAACTGGCCTCAATATTGTTGGTAAACATTAGACGCCGGGTAAAGTGATCCCTAAGTGCCGCGCTGCTCCGAAGGCCACAAAAAAATAAATAAATGAAAAACAAATGTTAACCACTCCTTCAGGATCCACCACTTGTGCCTCTGTAGAAAGACGGAATCACATGATTCGGCATAACCTGTTGTGAACCCCTTGCAGCAAACGGGGAAGATCTAGATCAGTTAATGAGATGAATCATGAATTAACGAGACGGAGTCAACTCGAGGGTTTTGGCGAAATCCTGCACTTGACACCTCACACGTAGTTTGGGCCATTGACAGTAAGTAAAACACAACAAAATGATTTTTATATTTATTTATTTTATTATAAGATTATGGTTTGAGGAAAACAGACTTTTCTGCCTATCAATAACTCAGAATTATGGCGAAGTGTAACTGTCATATTATTGAATGAAACATCTTAACTTTGATGGGTTAACTTAGTACATATTTCTTATTAGGGTCATGGTTATTTTCGGCGATTTTAGGTTGAACATATTTATTACTTTTTGTCCCCCACTTTCGCGAAAGCGAGGGGGCATTAAATCTCTTTCGTCTGTTCGTCTGTCTGGCTGTCCGTCAGTCACAAAAACTTTAACCTTGCCCATAACTTTTGATTTAGTGGAACTATGACTTTCATATTTCATATGTGTATTCCTTCTGACAAGACCTTTCTTTGAGAACATCAAATTTTCTTAACCTTTTTTGACCAACTTTTACACAAAAATTCCAAACTTTTACTTTGGCCATAACTTTTGAATGGAAGGTACTAGGACTTTCATATTTCACATATGTATTTTCTGTGGCATGACCTTTCTTTTCATACAAACAACTTTAACCTTTTGATCTTGACCTTGGAGACTTACGTACTTATGAAAAAACTATAACATTGACCATAATTTTTGAACGGTAAGGGCTAGGGCTTTCGTACTTCATATATTTTATTCTTGTGAGACGACTTTCATTGGATACCAAGAACTTTGACCCTTTGATCTTGACCTTGGATTCTTAACTATTTTTTAAAAACTTTAACCTTGGTCACAACTTTTGAACGGTAGATACTAGGACTTTCATTTTTAACATATGTATTGTTTGTGACAAGACCTTTCATTAGATACCAACAACTTTGACTTTTTGACCTTGATTTTGGAGTGATACTTTTATGAAAAAACTTTAACCATGAAAAACTAATTAACTGTAAGGGTTTCGTACTTACATATGTAATCCTTGTGACAAGACCTTTTACTGCAAAAAATAATTTTTTGACCTTTGACATTGACAAAACCTTAAGTTTTAACTACTTTTTAAAACCTTTAACCTAACTGTCACAGTTTTTTGAACGGTAAAGATATGCCTAGGACTTTTTCATATTTCAAATAGGGTTTTCTTTGTGGCAAGACCTTTCATGGGATACCAATAACTTTGACCTTTTGACCTTGAAGATTTACTTACTTGGGAAAAAACTTTAAAATGACCATTAAATTTTGAACGGTCTTAAGGACTAAAATTATTTTAATCTTCACATATGTAATCCTTGTGAAATAACAATTTCATTTAATCTTACCAAAAACTTTAACCCTTTGACTTTCACTTTGGAGTTTTAACTACTTAAAAAAAACTTTAACCTTTACATACTTTTTGAACGCGTAGGGTTAGCGTTTCCATCCTTCATATATGTATTACTCGTGACAAGACCTTTCTTAAGAATTCAACAACTCAGATCCTTTCAATTCGGAGTTTGACCTACCTTTCAAAAATTTATCCTCAACTATAACTTTTGAACAGGTGGTGATAGGGATTTTTATTTCACAGTCGTATTTCTTCTGAGAAAACCCCTAATTTGGGTAATAATAGATTTAATTTGCATTTAAGAATATCTTAATCTTCGTTATGTTGCCATTCGAGGTCATCAGTATTTCACAAACATATCTTGTTCCTTATATTGAGAAGAGATAGGGCTTTCATATATGACATGTGCATTACCTGTGACAAGTTAATTTCCAAGCACTTTTGAAATAATTATTTCAATATATTGACCTTGACCTTCATGATTGACCTTATTTTTCAAAACAAAAATCAATTTCAATGATAATTTCTATTAAAATAAATGACATAACTTAATGATAGGGTATTCATAATAAACACAATATGTCTTAAAAAAATATCTCACCCATAAAGACACCGAAAGCGGGGGACCGCAATTCTTTGAATTTGCTTGTTTTGTCAATATTTGATCCATCGGCCACATTCACTTTTAGTATAGACCATCCATTCCATAATGCCAGAATCAGATGTTAAATATTTCCGTTAAGCGTTGCATACACGTACGTCTTTGAATCAAATATTTTCATCTTACAATTTATTTCAGTGAAGGAACTAATAGAAATGAAATAATTTTCGTTATAATAAGATATAGTGCTTTAATTAGTATTTCAAAATCGTGATGAAAATTAGATGATGAAGTCGTCTATAAATTTATTGTTACTTATTATAATTTTTAATTTTTTTAACTGCCTTTCCTTTCATACAACATATATCCATTTTAAACTTATTTTAATTTAAATAAGTATTGATATCCATGTGTACTTATATATATATGGAAATACACATAACCTTTACAATTCAAATAAAAAACAAGGAAATTTCCGTGAGTTTTTAATAAATAATTTGATTATTTCAGACAGGACTTGAGATCAAAGGACACATCCCAACCATGCTCAGAGATTCCTATCATCAACAATTTTCAGCATGTTTGGTATTTTTACTTGTCTACTTGGCTTCACATAAAGTAACGACAACTGATCCTGCCTTTCAAAACTCCGACACTGCCGCAGCCTTCACAAAAGCAAACAAAGAATTTACGTTGAATCTCTTAAAGCAGTTACCAGCGGAATCCAATGTCTTCTACTCGCCCTTTAGTATTGCTACGGCCCTCGCAATGGTTCAGTTGGGAGCAGGAGCAGAAACACTTAAAGAAATGAATCAGGCTCTACATTTTGGCACACTGGGTAAAGACATTTACTCTGCATTTGGCACGTATTTAGAGTTTCTTTCGAATTCTACTGGAAACAACACACTTAATACAGCAAACAGAATCTACCAAAGCACGAGGTTTACAGCAGAAGAAACATTTCTCCAAAGTTGTATCAAATATTTTAACGCCACGGTAGAATCAGTGGATTTTGCCCAGTCTGAAGTAGCAAGTGATAAAATTAATTCCTGGGTTAGTCAGAAAACAGCAAACAAAATCCAAGATCTTATTCCAGCAAATGCACTAAGCATTCAAACCTTAATGGTTCTCGTAAATGCTATCTACTTCAAAGGAATCTGGAACAGTAAGTTTGAAGTTAAGCACACGAAAGAAATGGAATTTCGAAATGGCAAAGTAAAGTTCATGACGGACATGATGTACCAGAAGGATTCTTTTAAGATTTGCCATGTTTCAGACTTGAACCTTGACATCCTAGAACTTCCCTACGAGGGCGAAACCATAAGTATGTTAATTCTTCTTCCTACCTCTGTAGATGGTTTACCGGCTGTGGAGAAGAGTTTGACAGAGACTGTCCTTAGAAATGCAATGAGCACTCTAAGAAAACAAGAAGTTAAAGTGTACCTTCCAAAATTCAAAATGGAGTCTGCCTTTCAGTTGAAGTCTTACCTTTCTGCATTGGGTATGTCATCAGCATTTGACCAAAGAAGAGCGAATTTTTCAGGTATATACAGAGATGAAGAGGTGTTCATCAGCGAGGTTTTCCATAAAGCATTTGTCGATGTCAACGAGGAAGGCACAGAGGCCGCTGCGGCCACGGGAGTCGTTATTACTTTGACATCAATCCGAATCCCTCTCGAGTTTCGAGCAGATCACCCGTTTCTGTTTTTCATTCGTGATACTGTAAATGACGTCATACTATTTGCCGGAAGATTTAATAATCCCGTCGGTGTTAAAGGGATTCGGAATTCAAATAGTGCGTGTAATTTATGCAAAATGTCAAATGGGATTACATGCGTGTTCGTACTGCTGATATATGTTTTGAAGAGCATGCTTTTCAAATCAGAATGAAATCCAATTAAGGATTCTTAATATTTTGTTTACCGGAATGAAAAAGATGCTGATGCAGTAGTGGCAGCCTACAAAAGTGTCATAATAACAACCTTTATCACCTATGCCATGACTTTGATTTTGTCATTTTGTAATTGAACCTGTTATTTGTTCTTTGATATATCTGTATAAGCCAGCAGATTCCCTGTGAGAATAAAAGTATTACTTTTACTTTAGTTGTAACATTTTTTATATATCTTCAGCGTTTTTTTAAAATATCTAATAAATATGAAATAAATTTGATAAAGTATGTATTATTTATTTATGGAATAAAGATATTATTTCTATATAGATCGTGTTCTCATAATTCTAAAAGTGATTTTAATGAACACTCCTGTCCCGGTGTTGAAAATGATTAAAAGAAAATGGACCTTGTTATTGACAACGTGGTATATTTATTCCAAATTTTAAATTAAAGGTATTTTGTATTGTCATAAAAGCTCTGAAAACGGGGTTGCTGAATATTCAGGTATGCATACATAAGTTGCCGGCGGAGAGCTTCAAAAATTGTCCTCTAATTGGTACTCGGGGCCTTTGAGGAGGGAGAGATCTTTTTATGCCAGCTCTTATTGCGACACGGGACCTCTGTTGATAGGTCTTATCCGAAGGACGGGTCTCCACATTCTGCAGTAAGATTAGAACCCATGTCGTTAGAATCAACTCGTTTGTGACTCTAGAAAAGCCTTTCTAAGCAATAAACCACGTGGTCGAATCATTTTAAACTGATTGTCAAAGATTTGTTTGTAAAAAAAATATTCTTACACTTCACCCATTTTACTTGGGTGAAAAACCTGAAACGGAAACTTTTGAACGAATTCAAATATCAAACTATTTTTTTTTTTGTAATTATATGGAAAGCAAAATCGAACTTAGATTTTTAGATGTTTCTGTCAATCTACAAAAAAACTGTTCTGAATATTGATATATACCCCCCCCCCCCCCCCCTGGGAGGATATATAGTAATCGGTATTTCCGTCTGTCCGTCCGTCCGTCTGTCTGTTACGCTTTATCTCTTATCCGCAACTCCTCTTATACTACTGAGTGAAATTTAATGAAACTTTCACAGAATCTGTATTACATGTTGCCATAGTGCACCTCCTAATTTACTCTTTTATCCGACACGTATTTTAAGTTTCCCATAGCAAAACATGGACATTGCCATTATATGTTTACTTATGACATCACATATAGAGGCTTCTGGATAACATTTGATAGGACGAGTTATTCCTCTTTTTACATTACCGTAAAACAATATATAGCAACACATGGACATTATTGGGGTGGGGGTATCATTTAGTGGGCTCATTGCTCTCAGTACCTCTAGTTTGTTTACCTTACATGACAACACCATGATTGAAAACATATTATATTCTGAATTTCTTTTTGGTAATAAACTTTCTCTGCACAGGCGAAGTATTCAATACAAGCATAAAATCTGCATCTGATTGAAATTATAATTAATAAAGTATTTTATATTAAGATGCTTAATCAATAGCAAGAACCCTTTTCATATTTCTTTTAATGTATTTAAGATGTTATGGGTACTGCATAGGTACTGCATAGCTATATAAGACATGAAAAATAATTCACTTATGTAGCCGTCCATGATGTCACCTTTAAAATAATGTATGTTTACCTTCTCCCGATTCAGGGTAAAAATTTGGGTCAGTGGGTAGGTGGTAATATTTTTGTTCTCAGAAGCTTTCATAATGATGGAATAAAAAAATGCAGGAATAAAAAGTAAATAATTATTTTAGAATTTCTTGAGATTGAAAAAAAAGTTTGGGTCGGGCCAGTGTGAGCAGGGAGGGATGGAGAGAACAATCAAACAAATTTTTAAAGATGACAATTATCATTATTGAATTGTACATTTTATACCATTTTTATACCACTTTTAATTAAGTTAAAAGAATAGACATAACTGCATAATTATCTAACAATTTTTCTAATTCTTTGGTTGACTGAAACTTTTATCATTAAAATAGATTTGATAACTTCATAATGCCTTTATTCTTAACTTATTCTATCAAAAAATGATACAGGATATTGATATTAATTGATAACATTACGGTGCATATGGAAATTGTTTAATCCAAATAAAATCCTTTAAGAATTATAAAAAGGTGATCCTTTAAGTGGCATGCAGGGAATGATGGGTATTTTCAAAAGTGAGTGGTCTCAACTGCATCGGTAACTGGGTCATCTTGTGGGTTAACTGGGTCATCTTGGGGGTTTCTGATGGCAACAATACGTATTAGTGGGTGGTGAACTCTGACCCTAGGAATGACCCTTGGGATGATCTCAGTCTGTAGAACAACTGGGATACCGTGGAAGCAATACTTCTTATCAATGTATTTCAGTTTTCTGTGAATCTATAAGAATAAAAAAAGAGACAATTATTAATACACTTAGATCTGGAGTTGATTTTCAGAGTTGGTTGTCTTTTAACCCCTATTAAGCTCTCGGACTCCCCATACAACTTTAAGTTTGTACAAAAAGTCAATTATACTCCCTCCCCTTAGAACAATGGCTACTAAGCTTACTGTAAACCAGCTTTTATTCGTATGCGAAAACTTTTCGCGAGAGTCTCGTCTTCGCGAATATTTCTTACTGCGAACCGACCCTCAAAGTCCCTATGTATATTAATACCAGACAAAAAAGGATTCATCTTGAAAATTAATTGTAGCAGACTTATTTACCCTCGAAAATCGCGAAATAAAGTCGTCGCGAATAAAAGTTGATTTACAGTAATTCTTGTATGTGAAACATAATGTCTTAGGTTGTGTTGAATTGCAAAAGCAAAAAAAAATGTTTACACTGTTGCTTGATGCATAATTCATGTGTCTTGTCATTGCTAAATTAATAAATGTCATATTTTTTAAACTCTGTTCATTTTTCACTAATTTTTATTTGTATTTTGTCTTTGCTTTCATGATTTGTATTCCATTTTTCTTTGCGAGATATGGGTGATATTTTTATGTTTTTGATAACCACTTGAAACACCTACAAAATAGCAAAGACCACCAAACAGTAACCAGAATGGGAAACAGCCGACAATGCACAATGGACTGAGGCAGCATTCATCTGGTGATGAGCAGTTGTGTACATATATGCACATATCTCCATCCACACTGGTTCGGCCGGAGTTAATTCTGTCGACTATACCGCGGTACCAGTCTTTCATCGGCAAACTAAAATCAAGCTACAAAATACCAAAAAAAATGATTACATATTTATTGTGATATATTGATAATTTGTGAAGCTTTCTCCGACCTTAATTTTTCAAATTAATCAAGTTAAGTGATTTGTCCGATTTATGGCTTAGAGATCTAGAGATGTTTGCCATAAATAACAACAACAAATAAGTGGAATAACCTTTTATATATTTATTTATTAAGATAATTTGTATCTTATATAACTGGAACATTTCCTTATCACGAGGTCCAACATCTAGCTCCGGGGCCATAAAGCTTAATTTTGATTGCAGTCTCACCTTTTCATATAAAATTAGAGTAAGACAAGGATAAAAAGTACTTTGACTAAATGTAAATATATTGTTGATAAGTCGAAAATTCAAATACATCCTTGTGTATTTAATATGTTATTCATATTAGGTAAAGATATGCATTAATTCAAAAGACATAAATTTTGTTTGAAGAAGAGAAAAGATGTGTTCATTAGTGATTACTGTATACAGGGTTATTTTCGACTCGTCTTATTTTCGCCCTTTCACACTTACAAACAATTTTGTTCCGTTTTAAATTCGCCCAGTCATAGTTTTGTTGAAGAAATTAAACTGTATTTTTTTAATTCGCTCCGCTTTAAAAACAAAATAATGAGGGTAGGGCAAAAATATATATAGGGGCGAAAATAAAACGAAGCTAAATATAAATTTCCCTATATACAGTAGTTTTCTCCGAAAACGCTCAAATATTGGAATTTGTATAATGTAAAGCAATGGACTAGAGACCCCTTTGTAAAGTAATAAGCATGCCAAGGGCTTATATGCTGGTTTTGAAAGAGTTGTAGACTTATATGCTGATTGATTGTCACCGAGTCATTGGCTTGCATTCTGATTAGTTGTCATTTACTTACACAGTTACACAGACTTGCACAGTTGTACGTATGCTGATTAGTTGTCTTCTAAAGGTGATTATCAGCTTCTGTACAGATCGGTTGTCATTTAGATATAAGCTTTTGTTCTACTTGGTTGTCATTTATTTCTGGGTTTGTGTTTTCATTTTTTTGTCATTTCCTTATAATATTGTGTGCTGATAGGTTGTCATTGAGTCATGGGCTGGTGTGCTAATCATTTGTCATTCAGCTATGGAACTGTGTTCTATTTGTTGTCATTTAGTTACATATATGATCTTGTGTGCTGATTCATTGTCATATAATTAATTTATATATTCTAATTGGTTGTCATTTAGTCATTGAATTGTATGTTGTCATTTAGTTGTCAGCTAGTATGTTGATCAGTTGTAATTTGGTTATGATTTTTCGTGCTGATTGGTTGTTATTGAGTCACTGGCTTGTGTTCTGCTTAGCTGTCATTTTGTTATTGGCGTATAGTTTGATTGGTTTTGATGGAGCCATGGGATTTTGTGCTGATAGGTTTATAATGATTCGTGGACTTGTGTGAATGAAGGATTTTTATTGGGTCATGGGATAATGCGCTGATCTCTTAGAATAATTTTATAATAATTTTGCGCTGATTATTTTTCAATTATTCATAAACCTGTGCTATAAAGGGTTATTTTTGAGACATGAGTTTTGTATCCATTGGTTTCTATTGAGATATGAATTTTTGTGCCGATTTGTTGTTACCTTAAGACAAAAAGATTGCCCCTCTTCTATATACTTAGCAACTTCAGTAAGTTTTCGTGCGAGAATGTCTTGAATAACTGGATGCTTTGGATTGACAAGGACTGCAAATTTGTCTAAAAATAAAAGTTTTCTGAAAGTGTACAAAACGAGACCTCTAAAAGAATAAGAAAATTTACTAATCATCTAAGAGACATATATCATTTCCTAAACATGAAATGGATGTTTATTTATATATATATATATATATATATATATATATATATATATATATATATATATATATATATATATATATATATATATATATATATATATATATATATATATATATATATATATGGACTGCAGCATTCTGTTTTTATTTATATATATATATATATATATATATATATATATATATATATATATATATATATATATATATATATATGGACTGCAGCATTCTGATTTTTTTTATATATATATATATATATATATATATATATATATATATATATATATATATATATATATATATATATATATAAAGCACTAAAATGACCAACGACAAACAATTGTCCTCTGTTATATTGGTCACTTTAGTGCTTTATATAAATTTCCATCTGTGACCTTGTATCTGACAGTAGCACTGCAAACATTTAAGGATATACAGTGTTGTTGGTTTTTTTTAGTGTTTATATATATATATATATATATATATATATATATATATATATATATATAAGTTTCTACTTTTTAACCATTAAGACAATTATATATTTACACATTTCCCATACAGATACCACAGTTGAATACTTTAGAATACTAATACAACACCTGTTGTTATTTTTCGAACGTTGACCAAAACATAATTGTTCTCTCTCACGTTTTCTACTTCAACCCGGAAAAGAATAAGCTTATTCAAAAGATCGCGCTTTACTTGTTCTAGTTCTTCTAGATTCTCAACCTTGTACTCCCTGTAAAAAAAGATTAAATAATAATGATTATCAGTACATGTAAAGTCTACAGTTCCTCATTCTCAGAATACATAGGTAGTATTTAGTGGCCATTTAAAAAAAATCTTTTGAAATTCTGATTTGCAATACTTGTGCTCATTTTTAGCCGGCCTTTTTAAAATTCTTATGAAGAAGTTATTGAAATCTTTTATATGAGAAAAGGAACGCTAGTACTCTTGCCGTGGCCTTAAACTTGACATTGATATAGTAATGACCGCAAGGCCTAAAATAAAAATTTGTTTGCAGTTGTCTACCGACCCACAGAAATTGCACCCGACCCAAGCTTTTTATTTAGCCATTTTGTAATCTTTTTTCTTCAATTTTTAAGGATATTGAAAGTGTTTCATTTTCATTTTTTGACTTTTGCTTTTATACATCAAAGATTTATAACAAGCGTGGAGCTTAATTATGTTGATTATGCTTATTAAAAGATATATTATTTGTTATCTATCGAAAATCTAACCCCCCCCAAAAAAAAGACTACCTACCTACCTACCCAGACTAAAAATTACATGTGTAAAAGTCGGCAACTGCAAACAAAGAATTTTTTAGGCTTGGCTCAATTAAAAATTGTTATTTCTATTCCTATTTCCACTCGATAAACAATTGTATAAACTGGTAATAAAAGACACCACAGAGTCTTTGAGATTTTTTTTTTATTTGGATAATTACTTAAGTAAGACTTTGACATCCAACTAACATCTTACATATAACTATATTACAGAGGGAATAAATTTAGTTTTTCAATACTCGACTTTTCCTCTGTTTGCTTCCCTTATTACTGTAGTAATATTATACTTTCTCCTGAATACGGTGTTTATGTTATCAAGCAAACTTTGTCAACAAAAGCATGCCCCGATAACGATCAGAATTAAAATCCAAGACATACTACAGAAAAATAAATAGATGTTACATGTACAGAGCTTTCAATCATCTAAATAAGGTTAGCATTTCGAGAATTTAATAATCGTCATAAGAAGCTTGTTTACAAATGCACAATTACACCCTATCAACGGGTCAGGTGTTAACTTGTCTCATAACAATTACAAGTGACTGTTATATTTTCATTTTGAATGAATACTTCATTGACTTGATCTAAACAGAGAATTCAGAGGTGTGACCAGTCAACGGAGAATGCTTACTATTTCTTTAATTTGTGAAATGGTACACTATTTTATAATCCTGTTGTATTTGCTTTTTTAAGCTTTGAAGACTCTAACGGATACATGTTTTTACTTTCTAAGCAAACATTATTGTACTGCTTTGATGAATTTTCATGTCTTAGTCTCCTCATACTCAATGTACAACATTAAGGTTAATGTTTTATTCTATTGTTAGTTAGGAACCAGCTTGTGTTACAATACTCTCAGAGGAAAGTGTTTGCTCAGCCTAGTGTCCAATACGTTTTACTGTGTTGACTTATGGTTATCAGTACTTAACCTTCATTTTTATTGATCCTCAACGGATATGAAAATCTTTTGGGGAAAACCAGTAGATTGTTGTAAAAAGTGAAATATGGGTAGGAAGAAAGATACTTGAGATTCTAGAGTGAGGGACATTTCATATTTTACAAAATTTGAAAAATCTGCCCTTTGCTAAATATATCTAAACGTTAAAAACTTCAATTCATTTCTTAAATAAAATACAGGCTGGCATACTGAATCTATCTAGATAAATTGGAGCAGGCAATTCCATAAGTTAAGATTGGGAGATTTATATTAATCAGAGTTAAGATTATGTATTGATATTTATTAGAAGATTACATATAGACCTATCGGGCCGGGTGTTTGTATTCATAAGAAATTATTATATGATTGTTCATGTATTTTAAGGACAGAAGATACAAACACATCTATGTCAAAAGATTTGAAAATAAAAAAAAACTTGAGTCATATTTAAATGAATAAATTGGATACGTTTTACCGCGTAGTTTTTAAGTTTTATTCAAATTTTCACAAAAATGTGTTTTGAAGTGAAAAAGATTTTATAAAATCTTTTTTATAAAATTTTTTTAAAGAAATAGGGATGATTCAGACGGGCATACTTTTGAACATCACAGAAGGTTTACAATTTCTTTATATTCTAGAAATTTACTTTTTTACATTATTTGCAATGAAATTACTCATTAGGCTAAAAATATATACCAATCCAGGCATCCATTTTTTTTGTTTGAATCAACTGTGCTTAACAGATGAAAGTATAATAAATAAACAACACTTCTATATTAAATTGGCTGTCATATTTTAAGGTTATCTGAAATGATGTATTTTTTTTAACAAGATATATAACACTGTATTACTAGTTTTAGAAATCAGATGTATTTTTAACAAAAACTCTGAGCTCAATTATCTACCTTATTTTTGCACCCGCCAGTATTATGTGATCTGGATTAAAATCTATCCTTTCTGGTCCTCTTTCAAACAAGCCGTACAGCATGCACGGATATTGAACAAACTGTCTCCATAGCACTGCCGTATAGGGAGGAATCCTCAAAAGCTCAGCTTCTGGCAGATACATCTCGGGTTTTTACAAGTTGTTTAAAAATTGTTCTGTTTTTACTGGAGGTATAAAAGTCTACAACAAAAGCTGCTTTTATATAGCGACTGAGATTATAGAGAGAAAGAGGAATTCCCTTTCACGAAAGTCCGACACCGGTATAAAATTTTATTACAATAACAAGCTTCCTCAATAAAAGTTAGCTGTCAGGAAAACCCTATACATAAAAGTGAATGATAAGGTGGTATAAAATACGAAATCAATTTTTCTGACCACAGAGCCATACATTTATATGTTAACTTATTTTTTTTTCAAACTAAGCCTACTCTTAAGGGGCTTAAACTCTGTTGAATCCACACACAATCTGGATGATTTAACATGAATATGACATTTATATGACTAAGTTTACATGACCGTTTTGTTCTTGATTCTTAAATGTTTTTGTTTATTTTTTATACATAAATGTAGTAAGTATAATTTGAGCAATTTTAAGCCCCATTCTACCACGTGGTCAATGATTTCTAAAAAAAAAAAAATTTTTTTTTCGTATACTCGTACTATGATTTATATATAGCGTGATCCTGCAACAATCGAAACTATATGTGTCGGATACTAACATATTTTGTATTAAGATTATCGTTACCAAATCTAGCCAAAGGGACAATGATTTACATTAACAAACACATGTATTTGATTCTGCAATAAAGTACTATGCTTGCAGCATATGAACAGTCATTGTCTGGCTTTTGTTTTAGAATATTTAAAACATTTATTTCTATATGTCCTAATATATATTTAACTTCAAATTGTGGTCCCATATACGGTCATTATTTAAACAATCGAAACTGTGAAACATGAAGAAGCTTCCATGTTCATAAAACTATGTGAAAGGTTAAGATAACGAACAGTAATCGATCCTTAAAAATATATTAAGAAAAAAAAGTGAGAAATAAAAATTGAAAAAAGGGAGCATAAACCACCGACCCATGGGAATGTCAGAGGTGAGATCAAGTGCCAAGGAGGACTAGGCATCCCTTTTGACAGGTCAACTGACAGCCCTTTGAATTGAATCAAGGATATAATGTTAGGTCAAATGTGTGAAATATAGGCATTACACTTTGTATGAAAGAAGTCAGCCAAAATGTAGCCCTATCATAGGCCCTATTATAGATTTTATTTGCTAGTAATGTCATAAGGATCATAAAATTTTGAAATGGTGACTCTCAAGAAGGTTGTTGAAAATCCTGTAACATCAGCTTATCAGTGTGTAATATTCTTCGCTTTAAAAATTTATTGTTCTGAGAGAAAGCTCTTGAGTAGTGATTACGCTAAGAAAAATAATCACCATGATCAGATGATAGCGGAATATTACTAGATCAAGAATGAAAGTTGATATATATTTATGACTTCTGTGTTCCTTTCCGGATCTCCTCGATCGTATATTTCCATGAAAATCTTTGATCTAATCTAGTCAAACCGTGACCAAAGGTGTCATGATTTGAACACACTTAACAAATCTGAGGTATATACTCGTATATCTCATTTGTCCTATACAGATACTAATGAAGTTTATCGACAGTATTAAATATTTTCTATAATTATCTCTACGAACCTGGTAAAGAAAAGGAAATTAGTTGCCTTTACACTATACAAATTCTACAGGAATATGTAAATAAACAGTAAAGTAGGCATACATGGAGAGTTAGTTAAAAGTATAATTTTTTAAACACCGTTTAGAGAAAATCAACGTCTTTTTAAAAACGTGACATGTGAGCGTTCAATTTATAAAAAAAAAATCAATTTATGTCTGCACGAAAATTAACAATGAATTTGTAATAGTATATCCCGTCATGAAATATTTTGCTGTTTATTATAATTATATATAGTATGTATATGAGTTCTTGATGGAGGCTGGAGGAATACATTTTTTTCCTGTAAGTGTTGCAATCTTACATTTGCTTCCTGCAACAATATTTTTTTTATCCTTAATAGTAGATAATATTATTAGGAATTGATTTTTATTTAAGATTGGAGGTTTAAAGACAAAGAAAAATGGTTTTCCTTCCTCTGTTTTTTATTGTCTTGCTTCAAACATCCATCATAAAACGTAAGTATGTTTTTGTTAAAATCTAAATTCTTATAAAAGTATCTTAACTTCTATTGTTCATATGTAGTACAGCTGATTAAAAGAATATGCGATATTAATGAGACTGTATTAATATTAAACGTAGGTTCGTAAATGTATCACAACAAAATTATGAGAGAAAAAATCACCTTCAAAAGTACAAGTAGATGCAGAACTGCAACTCACTTTGAGAAAATTCGGACAGATAAAGCAAAGAGCTACAGATTCAAGCGTTGTTAAAACCTTCAATATACGCCGCCGCTTTTTTGTCGCTCACTTAGGTATTATATCTTTTATATAATGTTTTTCCCAGGTTTAAAAGTGGTATCCGGCGATTAACCATACATTTAACTCTAATTTGCGTTTTCAAAAGACCGTTTGTGGTTGGTTACAGACGTCGAAAAGGGAATCATTTAAATCGACATTCCAAAAGGCCATTGAAAGGTAAATAAAGTATCAATAGTAGGAATCAAATATATCATTAATTATCGGATACCATACTAAATGTAAGGTAAAACATGAAATAGAAGAAACAATCGTCAGCGTAAAACCAAGGATTTTACAATGCTTGAATCTGGACTTCTCTGCTTTATCTGTCCGATTGTTTTTCAAGCAAAGAGCTACAATTCTGCAGCTACTTTAAAAGACACTTAATCGGAACTTAATTTGGGCTTAATTAGCCCCCCCCCCTACTTTTTTGAAAATATATACATAACATAGGCATTAAAAATTGTAGTTTACCGTAAGAACTGCAGTAATAATAATTTCAAAAACTGATTCTAAATGTCTACCTTTTGATTCAAAGATGTCTACTCAAATCCTGCCATAGGATTTTCAGTGCAACTTTCGAGAGATACTCATTTGGGAGACGGACAAGCGATCAGGTACGACAAAATAATTACTAATTACGGGAACAGTTACAACAAATGGACAGGACACTTTGTTGCTCTGAAGAAAGGATTATACTTATTTTTCTGTTCAATAATAACACACGGCTACGGACACATTTATATTCAAATTGTAAAGAATGGTACTAAAATATCCACGATTTTTTCCAACCCTTCTTCTTTTGACCAGAGCTCACAGACAGTTGTGTTGACCCTAGAGGCAGGGGATAGGGTCTGGACTAGACGGGCATTATCTGGTAGACTTCTGCATGAATACCGGGGCTACAATATGTTTTCTGGTGTCCTTATATCAGGGAATATTTAAGAGATCCTTACCAGCAGTGATCTTATATCAAAAATCTTGTTTTTAAGGTTAATCTAATAAACTATTAATATAATAATGATTTCAATGAATTTCAATATTCGTTGTTTGCTAAAATTATCATGTAGACTTGCGTAAAATGTTTAACTCCAAGATTTTATGATACGACACAATAAGACTTGAAGTTACAAGATCTTGAGTTTTTGTAGAACTCAGTAACTCTAGTAACTGATGTTTGTTTGTTAGTATGCTTGTATGCTTAGCGTCCTTCATATGAAAACGCCATAATTTCCTGGTGGAGAGATGCAAATGCAGTTTATGAGGAATTGGTCGACAATTCAGTGTCTAAAGAATGGCCTAACAATTAGAATGAAGAACCACAGTTAGCATATGATGTAATGACAAACTGTATTTGCTGACAAGGTCATTGTATCGACGATTAAAGAGTTAAAGTCAGCATGTATTATAAAGCTTGGTTCTTAGATTACCATTAACATTGACCCGTTATTAGGAGATCTTTTTTTTGTATTCTTATGAAATACTCTTTGTCCACATTCTTATACATGAAAAGAAGAAAACACTCGCTGTTGCCTTCAACTCGACATTCAGATAATTAACAATGGTTGTTTGGATTCTTATTTCGATACGATATATCCCAGTGAGCTTAAATTGAAATTACAGATACGACGGAGTATGACACACTTCTGTTTCATATTTTGATAAAAGACGTTAATGATAATCTAACTTAAATTTTAAATCGTCAACTTATCGTCTTACTTATGCAGCAATATATCTTCATCACCTGCATACAGGGTTTATATTATTCAGTTGATTCGATGCGCATGCTCTACGTATGTACAATTTCTAAAACGAGGTAACTTATTGAAAAACAAGTTGATGAAACAAGAAAATCAAAAATTTCATTTAAAGTCATCATTTCAACATGAGTAGAACTAACAAAAACTTTGTCTAATGTCATAGCTTCTTTCGCAAGCATCAACTTTAATTAAAAAAAACCACAAGTAATGAACTTTTTCGTTTTCATTTATAAACTCTAGAGGAATCCTGATAATAGAAAAATGATTTGTTAACGTAACAATCCACCAAATCCAAAAAAAACAACATATAAATTAATACTTGCTTCAAATTCTTTTAAAAATCAATATTTTTATTAATTGTTCTGAAAACTGCCTAAAGAGTGGCAATATTGTAATTTACACACAAAATGTGCAAGACCATGGGACACATTGGACAAATCAATTTCACAATTTACGAAAATGCACATACACTTTTGACATTCTTTCCCTTGTAATGAAAAGTTTTGGAATATATTAATGTATACACTCGTAACATCATGTAACTGAAATGTATCTTAATGACAAAAAATCCATTATATCAAAACAATTGCGTAAATTTGATGAAAAACGAATAAAGAATGAACAATTTCTCCTGGAAAATTATGTAATCAAGTATTTCAACAAATACATGTAGTTAAAAAATGTGTGCTAACTGTGCTGCTTTAAACTCGATTTGTTTTTATATTCCTATGAAGCAGAACTGTTTAATGACTTTCACATAAGAAGAAGATGTGTTTTGACCTCCACAAAAAGATCAACTCGACATTCAGATATATCGACAACGTTTAATTAATGAGTAGTTATTGCCATTCATATGTCAGCTCGATATA